TGCAGACGGAGAGGTAGCTGAAGTACAGGCCATGAAAAAAAGACAACGGAGCTAAGACACAACTAGCCAGAGAAGGTAACGTACCCACAGAAGCACTGAAAAAAGAAAAAAAGTCTTCACAAGCTGCTGGTCGGCAGCAGAACAACCAAATGAAAACCAGCGCACAGAGGAATCCAGAAGAAGATCTAGTTACAGCTGTCAGCGGAGAGAAGTTCCATCTTGAAGCAGCAGGCAAGACCGGTTGCATGGTGTTACTCAACTTTTACAGGTAGCAACATGCAGCACAAACCTGAGAGCTGCTCACAGCGCTCTGGCACAGAAAGCAGAGCCTCAGAAGAGATTTTCACATTACAGCAGTGTTCAGCTTCAGAGACAGTCGTGTGGAGACTTGTTCTTCCTGTTCATAGTGCCGACATATTTCTAGTTAAGTCACACTGACCGCTTTGCTCTCAAAGGTGAGGGAAGGAGGGCATCTTTACACTCAATTAACTTAATCAGAAGCATCGTCTGTCTTAGCAACAGCAACGTTACCTGTCACTCCTGTAGAGTGCTCCATAAAAGTGTATTCAGTTTCTTTTTGCATTAAATACAGGCACTATGAGCTAATTTAATTTAGGTATCTGTCCAGCCTCGCTAGATTCTAGTTACGATCTGCCACTTGCGTGAAATCCTACTGAAGGACAGAAGCTGCCCCAACGCCGGTAGCCTTTCGAGTGAGAGCAGAGTACCCAGCAGTGACAAGTCAAGGCTCCTCAGACCGCAGGTGAACGGTCTGCAAGGCTGGCAGGCAGGAATTTCTAGGTTGTCTTTTCTGGTTTAGGTCTTTTTTTTTTTGCTTTCAGGATGAGTAAACTTGACCTTCATTAGAAGTTTTCAGAGAAACACCACCTTAGAATGCAACCAATGGCAGGCTGATTCATTAAGCAAATATGCAAATACGGGGCACAGAGGAGACCACTCCTTAGTTTGCACCTCCATTAGCAGATGCTATTTTTCTCTCCATAATATACTGCTGTCCTTCCCACACATTCCACCTACCTTCCCGAAGACAGAGCCACGTCTTTCAGAGCCATCAGAAGACTCTCCCCTTCCACATATGCAAAAGATAAATTGACGCATCCTACAAATAAATAAAATAGAAAAAAAACTTCTATCAAACAAAATCTAGGGCAAATCCCACCCCACATGGCAGTACTTGCACAATGTGTAGCTAAAGCAGAGCAGCCCTGAGGAGAAGGCCTTGGGGCTGTTGGCTGGTGAGAAGCTCAGCAGGACCCAGCAGTGTGCACTGGCAGCCCAGCAGGCCAACCGTGCCCTGGGCTGCATCCCCAGCAGCGTGGGCACAGGGCGAGGGAGGAGGTTCTGCCCCTCTGCCCCGCTCTGCTGAGACCCCCCTGAGTCCTGCGTCCAGCTCTGGAGCCCTCAGCCCAGGACAGAGCTGGAGCTGTGGGAGCAGGGCCAGAGAAGGGCAGGGAGTGACAGGACAAGTGGTAAAGGCTATAAAGTGAGAGAGGGGAGATACAGATTAGACAGAAGAAATTTTTTACTCTGAGAGTGGTGAGACCCTGGCCCAGGCTGCCCAGAGAAGCTGTGGCTGTCCCCTCCCTGGCAGTGTTCAAGGCCAGGCTGGACGGGGCGTTGAGCACCCTGGGCTGGTGGAAGGGGTCCCTGCCCAGGGCAGGGGGGTTGGAATGAGGTGATCTTTAAGGGCCCTCCCAACCCAAACCATCCTGTGACTCTACAATAAAGTGTGTTACTCAGTCCTGGCCATTAACAACGAGGAGCTAGGCGGCTCTAACGGGCTCACGATTTTGCCAGTGTTACCTGGATAGCGATGCTCTCTATCTCCATTCATAACCACATCAGGAACTTCACGCATGATTTTTGTAACCAGTCGTTCTGCCAGTTGTGAGATTCGCTTATGGTCATACTAGCAAAGAAACAAGAAGAGAGAGCAAAATAATGAACGGTGCACAGTCTGACCTCACTCAGACTGCTTTGTGTCACCAGCCATGAGCAGGCAGAAGTAGCTGGGTTTGGCTAGACTAGGGGAAGAAACACACTGAAACT